ATAATTATGAAAGTTTGTTAACTTTCAAATTGGTTATCGAGTTTCAATTCAATCTAAACTTGAATTTCAAAATTAAGCTATAGTTTGTTTATAAACTAGCATGGTTAAATACCATTTTTGGTCCCTCTACTATAGGAAAAAGCTTTTTTTTTTTTTATCCCTGTACCGAAAAAATCCCTTTTTTGATCCTTACTATTCACAAATTCGGCCCCTTTTTGGTCATTCTGTTAATTTTTGCTAACGTGGCATGTTAATTTAACTGAAACAACTGATGTGAATATGCCAACATGTAAAAGATGCTTATGTGTCCACGTGCGAGAAAAGAAAAAAAAAAGGTTAAATGCTAAATTTGATCCCTCAACTTTATAGGTTTGCATTTTTTTTATCCTTAAATTATTTTTTTCACTTTTTTTATCTTTTAACTCTAAAAATTATACAATTTTGATTCTTTTGTTAATTAAACATGATGTGACAATTAAATAATTTCATTTGACATTTTTTTTAATTTTTTTGATGACACGACAATTATATATATTATAATTATTTTATATAGATATATAAAAATATCATGTAGATAAATATTTATATTTTAATTAAAAAATAAAATTGCATTATTACCCTCAACTCTCAATCCCTCTTTTTCCCCTTCTTTCTTTCTCTTTTTTTCTTTCCTACCCAGATCGACTGGGTTCCGACAAGTGGGGTAGCTGGGTTCGTCGAGCACTGCTTTCTATGCTGCATCTCACTTCAAAACTTCGGCACATAAATTCCTCCAAACCCTCCGAAATCTCCCAGCTGCCGCTGATTACCTCCTTTTGCATAACTCTTTCGCAAAACACGAACATGAAATCTGCTCCGATCCGATCCGATCTCGTCCGTCTTGATCATTTCATTCGATCCAATGTTTCTCGCTTGTTGAAATATGATCTCCATGCTGTTCTCGCTTGCTGGTCCTGGTCACACAAACCCAACCTTGTTGGTCTTGGTTGCGCGAATCCGGCCTTGCTGTCTGAAAAAATTAACAGATTCAGAAAACCATGTCGTGTTCCGTCGCGGTATCAAGCTCCCCAGTCTTCTCTCCTTCCTCGTCTTTCTTCTATAACAAAACCTCAATACTTTCTCTGTCAACGGAGGCTCTTAATTTGACTTTAACCCACCTCAAATCCACATCTTCTCCTTCATCACCGTTTCGTCTAAGGATTCAAAAAACGTCATCTGGGTCACTTCTCTCATCCTCATCTCCGTCTTCTTTGGGCTCCGGTGCGGGTTTTGGTCCCGGGTCGGTTTTGAAGAGGAAGAGGCTGACTAGACTGGATATACCGGTGGCGACTGCGATGGCCTTTGTGGCTCCGTTGATGGAGAGCCAGGGGTGTAGAGAGATGGAGAGTGAAGGTGATGGGTATTTTGTTTATTGTAAAAGAGGGAGGAGAGAAGCTATGGAGGATAGGTTCGTCGAAACCCAGTTGTTGGGTTCGCGCGACCAGCAAGGCTAGGTTTGACCAACCCAGGCTCGACGAAACTAGTAAGGTTGGGTTTCGACCAACCCAACCATGCTGGTCATGTGAACCTAGCCTTGCTGGGTTTCGACGCTGGGTTCATGTTTTTTCATTTTTCTTTCTATTTTCATTTTCGGTTCTTGATAAATTTGAGAGTTGATTTACAATTTGATTACATTTTTCTTAGAATTGGATTAGAGTTTGATTGCATTTTTGTTGGAATTGGATTAGAGTTTGAATGATATTGTTTATTGAAGGGTTAATTTGATTTGATGAGATCTACTGGCTTGATGAACTTAGTGGCTTTAATGAAACCAATAACTGAGTTTTGACGAACACAGTAAGGTTGGGTTCGAGCAACCAGCAAGGCTAGGTTTCGACGAACCCAGCCGATCTGGGTAGGAAAGAAAGAAAGAGAAGGAAAGAAGGGGACGAAGAGGGGTTGAGAGTTGAGGGTAATAATGTAATTTTATGTTTAAATTAAAATATAAATATTTATTTACGTAACATTTTTATTTATCTATATAACATAATTATAATATATATAATTGTCATGCATCAAAAAAATTAAAAGAAAATGTCAAATGGAATTATTTAATTATGACATCATGTATAACTGACGGAAGAATCAAAATTATGTAATTTTTAGAATTAAAAAATCAAAAAAGTGAAAAGAATAATCTAATGATAAAAAAAATGCAAACTTATAAAGTTGAGGGATCAAATTTAGCATTTAACCTTTTCTTTTTCTTTTTCCCGCATATGGAGGGTGACGTGGAGGGTATCATTAAGTCCACATAAGCGTCTTTTATATGTTGGCATATCCACATCAGCTGTTCCCGTTAAGTTAACGTGCCACGTGAGTAAAAATTAACGGAATGACCAAAAAGGGGCCGGATTTGTAAATAGTAAGGACCAAAAAAGGGAGTTTTTCGGTATAAGGACCAAAAATGGGCTTTTTCCTATAGTAGAGGGACCAAAAAAGGCATTTAACCAACTAGCATAGTGGTTGAATTTGAACTTGAAAATATACTGTAGACTTCTAGATCCAGTCCAAGATCCCCAATTCATAGAGAATAATTTAAGTCCCTACAAGAATTTATTTTGCTTGACAATGCCCTTAAAAGATCTCAAGTGTCTAATTTAAACTGTGAAGAAAACCTAAAATGCTGTTGATCAGGAATTTGTGTGGATTGTGAACAGAAAATTCTTGTGATGGGCCCTCTAGAGTGGAAAGTCTAAATAAAATAAAGATAAAAAAAAGCATGGTTTAATACCGAATTTGATCCCTAAACTTTCATTTCTAAACTTAGTTCATCCTTTAACTTCAAAAAGTACCCAAATTGTCCTTAAACTTTATTTTTCCCGAACTCAAATGGTCCTTCCGTGACGGAAGTGCATACCTGTCACGTTAAGTCTCATCCGACTATCTCTTTTAATTTTCACAATCTTACATGGAAAAAACACCTCACACAATCGATGACATGGCATTAATTCCATTCCACGTCACATTCCTGACTCCCCTGCCTGCTGAAATTTGAATAAACCAGTGGGGAACTGCAAACATCAAAAAAAGAAAGGGGAAACTTCTCAACTTTGCAAGGAGAGAACCCTAAAAGCTCTGCAATTTTCCAAGGCGACAACAAATCTGCTTTCGTCACATTTCTTTACACTTCACAGCTCCAACAATACAACAAATTGATATTTTTCTCTTCAAAACAAGTCAAAATACTATTTCATCTCTGCCACAGAATATCAATTTACGTGGTTTTTGGGAAAGTGAGGAGGAGAAGAAAGAATCAAATTATGAATTTGATTATATAAAGGCGTCTGTAGATGAATTATTTTTTCTCAAATTCTTGAGGAGGAGGAGGAGAAAAAAAAATATGTTGCTTCGGAGTTCTTCAACCCCTGTTCTTGGGTCCCTCCTCTGTTCTGTTGTAGGGAGTCCCAACCATGAAACTGCTGCTACCTTCGCTACCATCAAGCATCATCTGCCGATGGGACTTTACCATAAAAAGGTTCATTTCATCCATCTCTAGGATCTATTCATTTGTCCTGCAACTCCTCTCCGATATCACCCTCAATTGCAGTTTTTAACGGTAAAGGCAGCAGCAACTTTCGTCAGGCTCAATTTGACAGGAACTTGGAAGGACTCGCATATGCTTCTTGTGATGGAAATGAAAAGTTCTCTGACGAAACTCGATAGCCAAAGAAGGTTTCAATTTGGATTCCAGCCATGTTCAAGCGGCATATGCCAGTTTCCTTTGGGAAACAGAGGAAGATGAAGATGAATATAGAACACCATACAAGATTGAGTGCAATCCCCCAGAGTTTCATGAGGAAGCAATGACAAATGCTTAATTCCAGCATGCTTTGTGGCTGCTTTATTGTGTACATACAATAGGCAAATCGAAATTTCAGCCACCTTTTATAGAATTGAAGTACATGACCTTAAAGCCAAGAGATAATTCATCTGAGGAAGGAATCACAAGGTGCAAAGGATTTAGGATGCAAGGAAAAAGGAATCAAGAGTTGCAGAGGATTTAGGGGTCGAAGAAGAAGGAATAAAGGGTTCGGAGAAGAAAGAATCCAAAGTTGCAGAGGCTTTAGGGGTCGAAGAAGAAGGAATTAAGGATTTCAAAGAAGAAAGAATCAAGAGTTGCAGAGGAAGATTTAGGGTTAAAGGGGAAAAGGAAAGAGAGAGTGAAGTGAGTCTTCATCGAGATAAAGAGAAAGACATGTGTGCCCCATTATTTTATTTTATTTTATTTAGAAGGCAGGGGGTAAAAATGAGATGTTGGATGAAATCGGTGCCATGTAATTGATTAGGTGAGGTGTTTTTTCATATTAGTTTGTGAAAATTAAAAGAGGTAATTGGGTGAGAATTAACGTGACAGGTATGCACTTTCATCACAGAAGGACCATTTGAGTTAGGGAAAAATAAAGTTTAAAGACGATTTGGGTGCTTTCTAAAGTTAAAGGACAAACTAAGCTCAGAAAAGAAAGTTTAAGGACCAAATTGGGTATTAAACCAAAAATCATTTCGGTAACTGGAAGTGCTGACTTCTAGCAAACTGCGTGTGACCATGGATCGGTCCATATCAGAACTCAAAACAGCTATTCGATCCAAGTTGCGTTTAATGCCATGGCCATGAAACCGTATCGATCCGCAGTTTCATCAATCTGCGGCAAATAACCAAAAGACAAGAATGTCGAAAATCAAAGAAATTATCAATACAATATCTATCCTTAGTTATACCAATCCATGTTAATCTTTCAGCAATGGGTATGCTATCTTTTACTCCCATTATTCTAAAATAATTAATGTTTTTCTTTTATTTAGAATTCATTTTAAAATAATAATCATTTTATATTTTAGGGATGATATGTGTTTTTCTAACTTTAATTTTATCGTTTCTTCATTTTAATTATCCAACTTATCACAAAAAAATTTTCTTTACATTTATAACTTTTTTAAAAGAATAATATAAGTAAAAATAAAAAGGTTAAACCCCTATTTTGATCCCTAAACTATTATACGGACCCCCAATTTGGTCCCTGAACTAAAGAAATCCCTAATTTGGTCCTTGAACTATTGTATGGACCCTGAGTTGGTCCCTAAATTATTGTACGGACTCTCAAGTTAATCCCTAAACTATAGTACGGATGTCCAATTTGATCCTTACTATTTACCAATGTAATCCCAACTTGGTCTTTCTGTTAAATAATAGCTTAGGGACCAAATTGGGGTGAAATTGTAAACAGTAAGGACCAAATTGGGGATCCGTACAATAGTTTAAGAACCAACTTAGCACAAATTATAAACAGTGGGGACCAAATCGGGGTCCGTACAATAGTTTAAGGACTAAATCAAGGATTTCTTTAGTTCAGGGATCAAATCGGGGGTTCGTACAATAGTTCAGGGACAAAAATGGGAATTTAACCAAATAAAAATTATCCCCAAATCTTTAATTTGAAGGTAAAATGAAAAAATGTCTATTATTTTAGGAAGGAGGGAGTATATTATAAC